AAGAGGGCCATTAGAGCTATTTACAATCTAAAACCGAGAGAGTCTCTTAGAGATAAATTTAAAGAAATTAATATATTAACTTTGGCCTCTCAGTATATTTACGAAAATTTAATGTATGTTCACAAAAACAAAGATAGTTTTAGTAAAAGAAGTGATATACATTCTGTAAACACTAGGAACAAACACAAGCTAGTGATACCAGTTTCTCGACTCCACAGAGTCAGTAATTCATTCTTGGGGCAATGTATACGCTATTACAACAAGGTCCCGGAAAGTGTACAGGTTCTCTCTATTACCAAGTTTAAATGTTTTATTAAACTGAAACTGTATAAAAAGGGTTATTATAGTATAAATGAATACATGGTTGATAACAACCCCTGGGAATGAGGTGATCGCTTCCAAGCAGTTTCTAAAATAAATTTTGTAAATAGTTCGTAATCATTTATGTTGTAAAATTTATTTAAAAAAAAAGTCCCGCTGGGTTTCTTGCTGGTTCTTCCCAGAACAGAGGGTTTTTTTCGAACCAGTGGTAAAGTAAAAAATGACTTTCAATAAGAATTACACATGTAATGTATATTGAATAAAAAATATTCTATTCTATTCTATTCTATTCTATTCTAACAATGCAATAAGTACCATGGAGCTGATCTGATGATGGACTCGGTGGAACGGTGCCCATAAAGCGTGTTTTAAATAGATTTTATATAATAACTAGCGACCCGCCCCGGCTTCGCACGGGTGATTTCTGGATCTTGACAACAGCACCATCTACCGGGTATTATTGTAAATTTAAAACATCCAGGGGCCCACACTAATACACACAAAAATTTTCATCAAAATCGGGGCAGCAGTTTTTGAGTTTTAGCGAGACTAACGGACAGCAATTGATTTTGATATATAAAGATAGAAGATTTAACTTTATAGCTACAGTTATAAAACAATCAAGAGAAATAATCTGTGGAAAGTTAGTTTTAAGATATCTGTGAAGATGTCATTTGTGACATTTTTATTTCGTGTAAATTTTATAGATTCTTCTTAAATTATTTTTTATGTTTATATTATGTCTAACAGGATTCCGGATGTCACGAAATGCTGCGGTTGTGTGACGGACTTAAAAACCGCCGTGGCCATCATAGCTGTACTTGGGATTGTGAGTTAAGAAAAATCACTTACATTCGAGACCGTCATTCGTAATGGCAACATTTAGGTTAACTAATTTAAGTGGCTAAGATGTGATAGTGCGAGTACTGGCAGCGTAAGAGAATACAATCATTCATCACCCCATTTCGTCAAGTTGTATAGTAAGAAGCTATGGAAATTGGCAGAAAGATCGATGGTGATAGATAAAGAAATAACCATCCCGTTTACGAAAAACGTAAAATACCAAACCAACGACGGGCAGCAGCCTTAAATGTGCAAGACGTTTGTAACAGCAGTCATCAATTCGACTGTCCAGCGATACGATTAAGGCAAATCCACCAACTATGGCTGAGGTATCCAGCAGCGGACTGTTAACAGCTAGTAAAGTTTTTTTTTATATAGAATATGGGTGACAAACGAGCACACAGTCCTCCTGATAGTAAGTGGATGCTGTTGCTCATAGATAGATATCTAAATCTATCCTCAATTAAGAATCAAAATGCTGAAGCGTTGTCACCCCTGATAACTGAGATGGAATGCCTCGTTTCCAGTAAAAAAAAGGTTTCAGGTTCTCTATACTCACCATATTAAACACAACAGCATTAAGCTGCTATTTTACACTAGTGTTCTGTGAGAGCGTGGTCCTTCACCGGTCGAGCCGATCCATTCGTGCTGCAACCACAATATAGCTGCAACATGGCTCTACCACGTAAAAAAAACAATAATGAACTTGTTCCTAACAAGTATTTCCCACTATTTTATCTACTTTCCAAATTAATATGCTAAGTTTAAACTAAAAAAGCAGACAGACAAAATAAAAATTTAAAACGACAAAAAGTTTCGTCCATTTCTATTTTGGAGTAAAATAAAATGTTAGATATATATTTTACTGAATCGACTTTATTTGCTCGACTCGATTACATTAAGACCCTTGAGTGGAATACGATCTTTTCAGCAATATAAATATAATTATTTAAATAAATACAGTTTATCACGTGATATTCTTATTTCAATAATTACTTTTCCATATTTTTAAATTACAATTTCGTTTCAGGTAACATGCCCAGCTGTATCGTGGGTGATCGTAAGACACGCCTACGCAATCCGCGTTTCCTGCGTCATGAGCACAAGCGGAACACGACCTGACGTCATTGATATAAACTTTCGCAATGTTGTAGGTATTATTGATAATGCTAACCCTAGGAAATTGCCTTATCCCGTGTAATGGCGGCGTAAGACAAGACTGTCACTCCACTTCGTCCCGTAGGTTGTTAGTAGTAGTAGGTTGAGTATTATATTTTTAACCTTGATGTTAATATATTGATCAATGTTTCACATAAAATTGCAAATATATTGCTACCCTTAAGTTTATTATTCTGTAATAGAAATAAATATAATATATGACTTTGTTTTATATTAATCGATAATTTATACATACGAATCTGAATAAATGTATCAATTTAAAAAAAATAACGTGCTACAAAGAAACGGTAAAGATTATACATCATACTTCTTAGGGATATAATATGTAGGTTTTAGTAATCTGCTTACATGGGGTCACAAGCATTCAGCCCACGTACCGGGACGCAGGTGATACTCGTACCAAGTGGAGATATACAAGCGGATCAAGTTTTATTGTTACTCCCACTCTGCGAATTGAATTTGTAACAAGCTCCAAGCCTGCCTGTACCGATCAATATACTAGGTTCTTGCAATAAATGTATTTTTTTATCTTTGTCAATGTAGATTATTTCCATTATTTTCAGGTTCATATATATATATCTGTAATCAAATGTTTTCAAATTAATGTAACAAAAATGTATAGTGAAATTTAACTCAACAACTTATGATTTAATTATTGCCAAATATAATAATTATTATATGATACTGAATGTAACAGCAGTAATTGTTTTTTCGTGTTTTCTAATAATTATATTGTTAGTTACTATCTCCGTCATTGTCTTCGATCGATAAAGCGTCATTTAAGTTCACTACACTCAAGCATTGTCTTTAAAATGTACAGCAATGTGTACATTATAAAATATCTTCAAATTACATAATATTTAAAGCAGTTACAAAAAAAATATTCTCACTTAATTTGTAAAAAACCATTAAAATGATTAATAAAAACCTTTTTGCGGCTTATAACTATTGTGGTGCATTCTTAATTTTCTCCTCCTTTTTATTCTTTTAAGATATTTTTTGATACAAGGTCTTCTTATATTAGCTTACTTTTATAGGTACCTAATTTTATATAGGTATCTGTCTAATTTAATACGATGTACATTGTACTATATTATCCTAATATGATGATGATTTTTAAATCGAGAACTACTTTTTATAAATTCGAAAACGGAAACGACTTTTTTATAAAATTCGTTTACTTTTAAATACACGAGTACAACAGGCTGTTTGAAAAAAAAAGAGAAAAGTACCATATGACGATTATAAGACTAATCTATCGATTATGCGATCAACCGCGCAGTAGCGCCTGCATTGGTAATATCTCGTTTCTCAAAGCTTGTGTGCTTCTTCCAATTTTAATTTTGTTTTAGAGCCGAGCTCGAGGCCGGCTTACTCCGCCGCTATTACCCGAGCACTTTTATCCCAGTGTAATCTTGTTAAGAGTCCCTCCGCCGACCTCGTGCCCTGCGCCGGTGGAAGCAATAATGCTGAAATCCCGGTTTTCGGCGCTTAAACTAAGCCGCGTATTACGATCGCATCCTAAGCTTGATTACTATTTTGTTTACGCTTATTATATTCATTACGTACATATTTTACTTCGTTTGGTATTTATAACACATATCATGGATTTGGTATCTTTAGCAACAAAAAAATCGTCAAATGTCATATTTCTTGAATGATTTCCATCCATGCTATATTTGTCACGCTTGGTTGGCAATCGCTTCTATTATGATTTTCATATTATACAAATCATATTTTTTTTACAGGATTGGGTGATAAACGAGCACACAGTCCACCTGATGGTAAGTGGTTACTATGACCCTTAGACAGATCTACATTTATCCTCAATAAAGAATCAAAATGCAAATGCGCCGTCACCCGTGAGGACTAAGATGAACTGCCTCTTTTCCAGTAAAAAAGGTCTCCGGTTCTCTACACTCACCATACGAAACACAGCAGTGTTAAGTTGCTATTTTACGGTAGTATTCTGTGAGAGCGTGGTCCCTCCCCGGTCGAGCCGACCCATTCGTGCTACAACTATACTACTAATATAGCTGCAGCATGGCTCTACCACGTATAAAATATATTTCTTTAAATGACTTATAATAATCTAACGTTTATTTTTTTTTATTTCCGACAGTCCGGGTGAGATTTTTACGTCTTGATGTCATAGTTAAGGCGAGCTACCTTCAGCTTTTGAATATTAATTTAATACTTACCTATGTATATTCGATAACAATGCAATAAGTACCATGGAGCTGATCTGATGATGGACTCGGTGGAACGGTGCCCATAAAGCGTGTTTTAAATAGATTTTATATAATAACTAGCGACCCGCCCCGGCTTCGCACGGGTGATTTCTGGATCTTGACAACAGCGCCATCTACCGGGTATTATTGTAAATTTAAAACATCCAGGAGCCCACATTAATACACACAAAAAATTTCATCAAAATCGGGGCAGCAGTTTTTGAGTTTTAGCGAGACTAACGGACAGCAATTGATTTTGATATATAAAGATAGAAGATTTAACTTTATAGCTACAGTTATAAAGCAATCAAGAGAAATAATCTGTGGAAAGTTAGTTTTAAGATATCTGTGAAGATGTCATTTGTGACATTTTTATTTCGTGTAAATTTTATAGATTCTTCTTAAATTATTTTTTATGTTTATATTATGTCTAACAGGATTCCGGATGTCGCGAAATGCTGCGGTTGTGTGACGGACTTAAAAACCGCCGTGGCCATCATAGCTGTACTTGGGATTGTGAGTTAAGAAAAATCACTTACATTCGAGACCGTCATTCTTAATGGCAACATTTAGGTTAAGTAATTTAAGTGGCTAAGATGTGACAGTGCGAGTACTGGCAGCGTAAGAGAATACAATCATTCGTCACCCCATTTCGTCAAGTTGTATAGTAAGAAGCTATGGAAATTGGCAGAAAGATCGATAGCGATAGATAAAGAAATAACCGTTTGGTATACATAATGATTTCTTATATTTACGCGAACACTACACATTGAATAAAACTATTTTTACGGCTTTTATCGCGTTTAATTAACTTATTTTATATTCCCAACGTTTCGGTTGCTTTCCAGCAACCGTGGTCACGGGGGACTGAGGTGATTGACGTCCCGATGTCAAAGTTAACCCGGAGTACCTTCAGCTTTTTAATTATTAATTTCGGTCCGATCTACGCAGAATGAACTAACTGTGTCTTGAAGTCTTACAGTGGTATGCTTGGGTTTAGTTTTAATTTTATGAATTACAGGATCCCAAGCAGGTGGTAGTACCCAGCCTCCCTCTCTATTGAAATTAGGATGTTTTTTAATTTCAATAGCCTCACGTATCATCCTTGGCAGGAATCGATGTTCTTTCGCGAGGACTTGTGGTTTATCAAATCTAATGTAATGACGGGGGCCGTCTAGGATATGATCACAAACTGCAGACTTCCCGGAACGTTGGTGCTTCACGTCAGCTATGTGTTGCTTTTCGGTTGCTTTCCAGCAACTGTGGTCACGGTTGCTGGAAAGCAACCGAAACGTCGGGAATATAAAATAAGTTAATTAAACGCGATAAAATCCGTAAAAATAGTTTTATTCAAACCGTTTGGTATTTTACGAAAAACGTAAAATACCAAACCAACGACGGGCAGCAGCCTTAAATGTGCAAGACGTTTGTAACAGCAGTCCGATCAGCAGTCAGATCCACCACCTATGGCTGAGGTATCCAGCAACGGACTGTTACCAGCTAGTAAAGTTTTTTTTTATATAGAATATGGGTGACAAACGAGCACATAGTTTTCCTGATAGTAAGTGGATGCTGTTGCTCATAGATAGATATCTAAATCAATTAGTCATCTAACTCAATTAAGAATCAAAATGCTGAAGCGTTGTCAGCCCTGATAACTGAGATGGAATGCCTCGTTTCCAGTAAAAAAAAAGGTTTCAGGTTCTCTACACTCACCATATTAAACACAACAGCATTAAGCTGCTATTTTACACTAGTATTCTGTGAGAGCGTGTTTCTTCACCGGTTGAGCCGATCCATTCGTGCTGCAACCACAATATAGCTGCAACATGGCTCTACCACGTAAAAAAAACAATAATGAACTTGTTCCTAATAAGTATTTCCCACAATTTTATCTACTTTCCAAATTAATATGCTAAGTTTAAACTTAAAAATAAAAATACGCAACACTTTTTTCTAAAACGAAACAATTGAACAGAAAGACAAAATAAAAATTTAAAACGACAAAAAGTTTCATCCATTTCTATTTTGGAGTAAAATAAAATGTTATATATTTTACTGAATCGACATTATTTGCTCGACTCGATTACATTAGGACCCTTGAGTGGGATACGATCTTTTCAGCAATATAAATATAAATATTTAAATAAATACAGTTTATCGCGTGATATTCTTATTTCAATAATTACTTTTCCATATTTTTAAATTACAATTTCGTTTCAGGTAACATGCCCAGCTGTATCGTGGGTGATCGTAAGACACGCCTACGCAATCCGCGTTTCCTGCGTCATGAGCACAAGCGGAACACGGCCTGACGTCATTGATATAAACTTTCGCAATGTTGTAGGTATTATTGATAATGCTAACCCTAGGAAATTGCCTTATCCCGTGTAATGGCGGCGTAAGACAAGACTGTCACTCCACTTCGTCCCGTAGGTTGTTGTAAAAGGCGACAATGAGAAATGCCAGAAGAATTTTATGACTACCGATAGATGGCACTATTTTGGACGTCAAAAACTATACAAGCATTTTGGATAAAATATAGCGTAGACCACTCCTGGTATTGCTCTACATCTGTACACGAAGTTTCATTACAATCAGTTCAACCATTTCGAAGATTAGCCCGGACTGTCACAGATAGAGAATTGTTTTAAAAATGGTTCTTAATGAACTCAATAAAAGGCAGTTATTTCTTTAGTTCATTCTGTTAGTTCAGTTTTATTTATATGTACCTGCATAGATTAATTTAATTTTTTTTATAGAATAAGGGTGACAAACGAGCACACAGTCCACCTGATGGTAAGTGGTTGCTGCGGCCCATAGACATCTACATCTATCCTCTATTACAAATAAAAATGCAGATGCGTTGTCAATCGTGAGGACTAAGATAGAATGCCTCTTTTCCAGTAAAAGGGGTTTCCAGTTCTCTACACTCACCATACGAAACACAGCAGCATTAAGCTGCTATTTTACGCTGGTATTCTGTGAGATCGTGGTCCTTCCCTGGCTAAGGCAACCCATTCGTGCTACAACTATACTATTAATATAGCTACAACATGGCTCTACCACATACAAAATCTACAAAACTTATATGTATTGAAACACACTACTTCTTACTAAGTATTCAATATGCATGCATGAATAATGTTTTATTTTGCATTATATTTTTTTTCACAGCTAAGCTTCGGTTTTGGCACTAACGCAGGTTTCGGATCATCGTGCCTAAGCCCTAACTCGACGCACTTATCTGAGCATGTGCAAAAACTTACTGCGAATGGCTCGACAAAGAATTCTGATAGCGGCATAGTGCGTTGCGTGAGATACTTCGGCTGGATTGTACTTATTGCTGATTTAGTGTTCGTGATTAGTTGTACTGTTTTCCTCATTAAATTATTCAAGGTATTTCTATTCATAAGGAATATTTAGGTCTAAGTTTATTCATTCGTAACATGCGCTGGTAATTTTTTTAACTTGTTGTTAACAGATTTATAAAAAACATAGGTATCCTTTAATTGGTTATGAGTCACTTTACTTGTTTCCTATTTCGTCCCGTGGGTGACGTAAGAGCCTATGGGAAAGACCAGAAAGATATGTGTATCATATAATAGACAATAACATCACTATCTCTGACAGATGATGGTGTTATTATCTATTATATGTCTGATAAAAAATATACAGACTGGTGTCGCAGAGCAGTATCGTAGGTTCGAGATGTCTCATAATATTTAATCTCATATATGTTGAATGTGTATCACGAAATTATGGAAAGCTCTAATAATTAAAATATTCTAAGCATCTGTGCAGGACAGAATTATAGTACACGAGTGTGTGTGCAAACACAAGTACCTACACTATTCCCTCACTATCATAGTCCGATGGGGGGAAACAGATTGGTGCATGACCAACGGATGCACGTGCTTTTCGAAGCACGGAGATAAAACATCACCAACTTCCTGACACCGAACTGCTATTGTAAATTTATTCTTGACAGGAAAGCCCGATAACTCATTTTGGTCCGAACCGTTATTCGAACCCGGGACCACATAATCACCAGTCGCGCTTACGACCATTAAACCAACAGGGCATTCAACGTTATATTATTCATAACCTATTTTAGAAAATATTACGATAAACTTGAGTATTGCTTGTAAATAAATGTGTTTTTCCCTAATTTAATATAGATATTATTTCTTTTTCTAGGGAAGAGACATAAAAGCTGGTAAAATTTTCATGTATGCAGCAATGACGTCGGTTGTGTTATCATTCCTGTACGGAATCTTTTACGTTTTTGTGTGTATATCACTAGGAAGTGGATTTCCAATAAACGAGCTATTTTTTATTATCTTTGATTTAATCGGTAAGTAAACCATTAAGTTACTGACAAATAATATATTGTAGGCAGAGGTACAATTAAATGTGATAAGAGGGCTGGTTCTTTTCTCGCTCAAAGGCCAATAGCCATTCAGCGGGGAAACGCAGCCAGCGTTCTTGGCACGATACCGCGGGAAGTAGGACTATATGATAATTAAGTTTCTAGTTTTTTTATTGTTTTATTATTATAGTTTTTAATATTGTACATTATTAAATATAACTATTGTACTTGAAATTTCAATAAACATTTTAATTTGGAAGAAAAAAATTAAATGTACATCTAATAGTTTCGCTTTTGTTTAATTTGCAAAAAAAAAACTATTTAGTTTCAACACATATTTCCCTTCTATAACTCACTAGCTATGCCCGGCGTTCGTTCACAACAACTCGCCAATGGATCATCGAAATCATATGAATGGTATAGTGACGCATACCTACGGCGCAATCCACGGAACTTTTATGCTACGGCTTATGTTAGTGTAAATGTTAAACTTAAAGTTAGCCGGCTGAACTTTCGTCTTCTTACGAGCGTAGGCTAATGTATCTATTTTTTATATAAAAATGTTCGCGATTTTGCGGTGGCCCAAGGGTTAGGAGCCGAACATTAATTTGTGACCGGTGATAATCTAGTTTTATGAAAACTAAAACTACGAACTACTTGGTTAAAATGTAGGTGTATTCGATTCATTCACTGCTAAAACTAGGTTTCACGTAGGTGTTAGATGCGGTCAGGCTGGGTCTTAGGCCACCCTAGCCGCTGTGTTTGCTGATGTCTAAGGAATATAGAGAGCCAGTATAATTTTTTTTTATATAGGATAGTGTAACAAACGAGCACACAGTCCACCTGATGGTTAGTGGTTGCTGTGATCCATAGACATCTACATCTATCCTCAATAAATAATCAAAATGCAGATGCGTTGTCATCCGAGAGGATTAAGATAGAATGCCACTAATAATTACAGGTTGTTAAGCATTGCACCTTAGTGTTCAGAGGTGACAACGCATGAGTAGCATTTTATTTGAAGTTTGCCGCTTAGTCTTCATTAGCCACTTACCACCAGGAGTACTGTTAGTTCGTTTGCCTTTTCAATTTAAAAGAAATATATACGGATAATTACATAAGAAAATTAAAAAAGTTTCCTAGAAAATGTACGAATATACATTTTCATATTTTTATCGAATTCCGTACCATTAGTATCAGTAAAACGGGATACTTATGGAGTTATCTACTATCTGTCTATCTGTCTTATACAAAAGCTTTTTAAAGAGATTATTTTCACGTGGATTCCTAATTAAAATGATAACTGCACTTATAAATAGTGCAGTTCGGTCTCCGCCTTATCATGAAAATGTAGGCATTGCAGAGAGAAATATAAAAAACACAATGTAAGCGCAAGAATCGGATAAAGCTTGAAATCACATTCATCAGAATTGTGCTATTTTCAATATTTTTTTGAAGAATCCCTTAAAATAACTGTTCAGTTCAGGTCAGATTCGTTCAGTCAGAATCAGAACATTCGTTAAAAAAATATTAAATCAATAATAAGCATCAGCATATAGATGTTGGCTAACAGTTTCGGATTGAAAAACTCACTATTTCGCAATGTTAAATGGTTTCATTGTTCATGACTAATCTCTCCATCGGAGTCTCAATTTAAAAAGTTGCCTCCACAGTAGGATTTTCTCCTGTTGTGGAGGCACCTAACGTACATAAATTGTAACAGTACACACATCCAGACCCGGAACAATTATTAGTATGCAATGCGGTTTGTTGAACCTGTGGCTTGCAGCGCCAAACCGAACCGCTTAGCCACTGCGCCACGGGGCCGTCTTGTGAAAATTAGCTTGTACTTGACAATTTTTTTGTATTACAAATTCATTTTAAAGATGTTGGAATTTATTTAAGTGTTAGTAGCATTGATCTATTTCGTGATTGTTGTACGTTCGTACAGTCGCATGCAAACAGTCAACTTGTCAACAAGCGAGAGACTCTATTATTACACATATTTATATTATTTTATTAATAAAGCTTATGACTACTTTCTCAATATATATTCTTCATGTTTCAGGTATAACTTTCATTTCTACTCACTTTTTAAAATATATATTCAATTTCAGTGTGGACCTACTTTATAATAGTAATTAAATCCTACAGAAATAAAAGGACAGCAAATGGGATGGGAGAAATTAGAAACGTTTAAATTTAAGTCACAAACAGATTCACGAACACTTTTAAAAACGCAAATGTAGCTTTGTGCATAATATGACGTCATTACAGAAGTTGAAGGACAAAAAAAAAACAGCATTTATTTTTGATACTAATTTTATGCACTTACCTAAATGAAAATATGCTTAACTATTTAACATAATGCTACAATATACGACAGTATAAATGTCAGTGTCGGTAAATGTTATTTAAAAGTTTTGAATAATTTATAAGGAAGTCAGTAGTTAGCAATTTTATTAATAAAGCTTTACATATTTAATAAAATGATGTTTCATTATTATCTACCTAACAATTTCGTCATTATTACCATCATCACTACAGCCTATTTAAGTCCACTGATGTCCCTACGTCTCTCCCATATTTTGGTTCATAGGACATTTGCCATAGTTCTCACGCTTGATAGCCAAGTTAGCAAGCGCAGTTTTTGGAACGAAGTTCCTTATCGAACGGTACGAATTTGGCGGATGAGGGCTAGGCGAGAAAAAGTGTAAGATTTTTCCGTCATGACCGCTTCTGACGTAGTGTTTTTTATACTTTTATAATAATATCTATGGTTTCATTTATTTATTATTAATCTAATTAATATAAAATATAACTAATAATACATAAGAAAACATTAACCTTAAAAAATTAAAAATTTTCCGACCAAATTAACTTCCCGCTATGAAATCTGACAAATATTAAACCTCATTTTGAAATGGCACCGACCTGGTGGTAGATAAAAATCGTGGATGCCCTCATTAAAGAAGAATAAATAGAAATCCTTTGTAATTTTTTGAAAACCTTGGTTAAAGTAAATATAATTATGAAATCACTTGCACTGAGAATTAATTTTCTAAGAAAAATGACAACAATAAAAATCTGATTTTGAACAAATTAAATAGGAGGGCAAAAATCTCAAATTTCTTCATTACATTATTTTAATAATCATCACCATCGCAATCCGTCACAAATGCAAAGCTGATAAGATCTTCCTGCCATTGTGGAGCCTTGAACTTCTTGTATCCATTAACTTCGAACGTTTCATCAGAACATTGCACTAGAGGTTCAATGTTCTACACTACCTCCTTACACTACGCTTGCCATACGAGGTTGTCACTCGAGAACCTTCTTTCCTCATTGGTTGTCAGTTTTGGTTATAGATAAGGCAGGCTCGTTCCGGTTACTATGGCTCGAATGCAGATATCTTCATTCTATTTTAATATTTATGTATGATAATTAATAATTATAATTTACTATATACCTACTATAATTTTTACATACTTAGGTACTTTATTTTTTTACAAACTATTTTACATTATCAAAGAGCCTCTACCGATTCATTACTATGACCTAAATATAATCAAACTACACAACACTACATTTTTGACTCCCTTTTCTCTCTATGTATTAAACGTAGTGATTGTATGCTATGCATACCTAATATGTTTTTACTCTACAATAAGCCTCATTAGTTTCTACCACAGGACTAAACGTAGTGATCATATTCTCTTTGCACAGAACACTTAGAACTTGAGTGAGAGTCTGTAAGAGTAGAGTACATACATAAACGTAGTGATTATATTCTCTTTGTACATATATATAATATGACAGAACTCCAACGCTCCATTAGTCTCTACCGAGAGTTTTAAACTATATTTGTCAAACGTTACGTTATAAAATTTTGTAAAATTCGCGTAAATATTTTATTTATAGTATTTTAAGAATAAAATCGCGCAATAAATTTTCTATTATAAAGTGAAATTGCGGTTTTGCGGTAAAGTGGTTTTTATTGAACCAAGTTTTAAGTAACACGTTTATGTACGTTGAGCGGGTTGAGCAGCAATCATTTGTAAAACCTGTTTAATCTACAGTACTTAATAGCTTTTCCTTTTGAGTTTATTTGTACGCGGTGGTGTATCGTTTTGGATCATGCCGCTGTGTTGGCGATCTCTAAAAGTTAAATCTTTTTGTTGGTGTATAAAGAATTTAAAAGTCGCTTCAATAATCATAGTTCTACTCACAATGGTCAGTTGTTCAATGTTAAAGATAATATTTTTAGTTTAATTCATCAGTGTAATCTCTTTACAAAACAAAAACAATTACAGTTATATAATATAGAACCCTTCTTTAAGAATGAAGGCCCATAGACATCTACATTCTTCGTGGATTATAATCAAAATGTTGATAAAAAACTAAAATGGAATGCCTCATTATCAGTAAAAAGGGTCTTCTTTAAAAAATGATGGAATAAAAGGGATAATTTATTTAAATGAAGGCGGAATCCTCATCAGAATCCATCTAGTTTTCAGTGTATGTACAGACAAACGTGGATAAGATGCAGAACGCAGAATAAATGGAATCCCTTCTTTTCTATCGACTTCAAAAAGGAGCCGGTACTCAATTCGACTGTATGTTTTTTTTATGTGTGTTACTTACCTTATAACCCTTTACTGGGTGAACAGATTTCGATGTTTCTTTTTTTATTTGAAAGCTGGTGCTTCACATGTGGTTCCATATACATTTGGTCAAGGTTTGACTAATAGTTTTTGAGTTATTCTTAATAATTTATATTGAAGTCGGTTGTACAATTTTTTTTAATTTTATATTATTATAGTAGAAAATCAACTGTGTTCAATATGTAAATGTGTTTCAATATGAGAATGTGTTTAGTATCTAATTAAATGTGTGATGTATATGTATTTCTCAGCTTTTGTAATATTTCTAGAATATTCAACATTATAACCATCTGTTTTAATGTTTCCCAGTGTAATCTGAGTAGTAACATCAGGCGTTGCTCATTAAAAGCGTAACTACCAATAATTACTCTTTCCGTTTTGAAAAGGAATTCGATTCTGTTTAATGTAAAAGACTTCGCCAGTACAGTCACAATCCCCTTATAAATTTAATAGTGTAAAATATTAACGTGAAATAAATTTTGAAATGTATTTTCTTGTTTTAACATAACTCTACTGTCTTATATCGCTTTTAATCGTCATTGTAAGATTGCGAAGGTCCTTCCATCCCCTCTTGGTAAAGAATGATAATCTTCACATTATATTTATTGTCATATTTAAAATCATAATATTCCTTCTTTCGACATTTTTGTTTTGTTTTGGTGTGCAATAAACAGTTATCTATCTATATTTAGACATAGCAAAATAGCGTCTAAAAATCCTTCAAAGATCTACTCTTCACAACTATACTGCTAAACAATGGACTCCTCCAAGTGCCACATGCCACAAAGCACGGTCTTCATTAGCTTTCTGCACGTCTTATCTTTGTGCGTCACTCCATAGAGTAGGGGGCCGTCCTAAATTCTGCTTGATGTTACAAGACTGCACTCGAGAAATTTTCATCCTCATCAATTTTCGGTTGGTCGAGTTACACCACTGGCTCTTTACCACTTCGGCTTACTGATCTGTTGGGTAGTATAGATTACATACACATATATATATATATATATATATATATATATATATATATAATAGGTATATGTATATTTATATACTAGCTGTTATATTTTTTGCGCGGGACCCTAAAATAAAACAAGCCTAAGTTACTCCTTATAACAGCTATCTGCCAGTGAAAGTCCCATTCAAATCACAGGTTTTTGCGTGATGCCTGTTCTGACAAAGGTCGTGTTAGAGTTTTATTATAGTATAGATAGGTATTGTTTTATGTATTTGTAAAATTGTTTATACATGTTTTTGTATTAATATTTATGTAGTTTGATTAATTAGAGATCATTCAGTAAATATACACCTACTACAATACCTGCTAGAATGCGTACAGGCATTTAGTCCGCCCATTGTTACCTTAGTTGTAAGGTGTTACAATAAATAATAAATAAATATATATTACTCTGGTTCCACTAAGAATATAATCGTTATGGATCCCATCACGAAAAGAAACTGCGACCCCTTTCCATAGCTCATTGAGCGCTCTCAAGCTTCCTCTATGGCCAGCGTTAAATGGTTTAGGTTTTATTTTATTTTTAGTGCGTAAGAGATCCAAAACCTTATTTCTTCCCATGGTGGTGGCGACTATAGGAAAAGCTAGGAAAATAACGATAGACGTAAAATGCACCTGCAATGTCAGCAGCGTAGAAGGTGCGACAACGAGTACTGCGTTCGTCAATACACCATCCATGTGTGTCAATTATGGCTAATCCTTCCTACAACGAAAGCGTCCTATGTCCAGCAGTTGATTTTAAAGAAGAAGAGGATAAAAATATACAGATAAATTGCAGTTCAGTGTATCAGTATAGCAGCCTTATTAAGTATAGTATGCGATCAACCTCACTCCGATCTCTATCCGTACCAATTATTAATTATTTAGCGCTGATTTAATATGTGCTCAGCTTTTAAGGAAGAGTTCTTCAGGAAATTTGCTTATTTACTTTATAAAAAATACATCTTGTGACATCGTGGGACAGATTCTTTGAAGCAGGAGGTGGACTCCTTCCACCGATAAAACCCTCTCAGAGTGAATCGAGTCCTGAAAAGTGTCCGCAACAGTGAGGCGTGCATAGGCTGTTAGAATATATTTTTTTTACTTTATCGTAAACAATATAACAAAATGTTTTCTCTTTCCAGTTAACTTGTATCCTTGTCATAGATGGACTTACTTTCCCGACCTGTTCCTATCTATATGATGCAGATACTGAACTGACTACCTGCTTAAGAATTTTTAAAGGCATTCTATTTTTACTACTGTTGGGGTTGCTAATCAGTAGTTTTGTGTTTATGTTGAACATTTTCTTTTTTGTAAGTAAAACTTATGCTCCACATTAAACAATCATTTACATTTCAAAGACTGCAGGGAACAGGGATATAACGTGATGATTACGTCATATTCATTCTAATTTTATATATCAAACGAAGAACGAACGAACGCACGATTATTATCGACTTGAGATTAGCAAAATTAGCTACTGAAAGAACAAATAATTATAATACATTTTACAATTTAAAATAAAATGTTAAACAGACTTAAAGAATATATTGATAAAAATTTAATTTACAAAACAATACAACGTCAGCCTCTTCGTTTACCTTGGTTTGTTGAGATTTAAATAAGATCAGGTATCCCATACACATCTGAAAAGTTTGGATATATGATGAAGAAAACCTATTTATCAAACTGTCAAATGTTTGGTATGATTTACAAAGTCCAAAACTTACTATGTAGTGTGTATAAAATCAAAGAATGCATCAAAAGTCATTAATGCTTAAGTATTACTTATGTAAATATGATATAGGTGCATTTTTGTACTATAGCACTTCTGACTCTACAGTATTTCTGACATGATAAAGTATCACTGATAATTTCTCTTTCAATATTGTAATTATACTTTGCAATTAGAACACTATTAAACAAGTATAATGCTCATCAATCGGTTTGCTAATTATCATGGTAAGTAGAGGCAAGTCTTTCCCAAAATGCTAACTGATGCATTCTGAGATAGGGGTATTATATTAGTTCCAGCATTGGATTTAAACTATTAATATGAATTAGAAACAAGTTTTAAATGCTTAGCGATTTACTACGATAACGTCTATACACTACATAATATATGACACATTTTAATGCGAAACACGTATAGAATTATCGACGTTTATGGGGTGTATTTCCTAGTATCGAGGTTGTGGTTGCGGTCGTGGCGGGAGTGATGGTGATAGTTTTATAGGCAGTGCACGCAATGATAGGCAGGGTAGTGTTCTTTATCATTGTACTCCATTTTATTTTTCCATTCGTATCAAACTTTTTAAATCATTTTACTTTCTCAGTTGTAATTATCCTCACAAATTATCTTTTTGATAGTGCATAAAACTTTACTCCTGAAATAGGTCTCTTGCTCTCGTGTTGTAGAAAATCGCAACGCTTGGCAGTCATACAAAAAGGTATAAATTTTGTTATGAAGGCAAATTTATACTTCTAGTATCAGCACCTTAGAGCCCTAGACTCTGCGGTTTTTGGCTTTGTATATTTGAGGTTGCGTAATATTTAAGACAGAGATTATTTTGCCATATACCTACCTGTGAAAGAAATCGTTATTTTTTTAAATAGGAGCGGAGACAAACGAGCATGCGGCTCACTTGATGGTAAGTGATTAGCGCCACCCATGAACAACTGCAACACCAGGGTAATTGCAGGTGCGTTGCCGGCCTTTTAGAAAGGAGTAAGCTCTTTTCTTGAAGGTCCCTAAGTCGTATCGGTCCGGAAAAATCGCCGGTGGTAAGCTATTCCACAGAGTACGTGGAAGAAAACTCGAAGTGAAACATACAGTAGTGGACCACCAAGCATCTCATTCCAGATGCTGTGGATGATATCGGGTATTTTGCCGCGATGTGTTTTCGTGAAATTTGGCGGCTGGGATAGTTATGTTTTATTTTATGATGTATAATTATTATGTTCTTATTTATTTTTGTATTTTACAGCACTTTTCTATAACAGCTGTGGTGTTTGAAAGTTTTTTAGCAATATCGTGTCTGATGCTGTTTTTACATACCATATTGACATTTGCGCAAATGGCAAAAATAAATTGCACGAATACTGGCACTGAACCGAATTTCTTTTTATATTGTTTTGGTAAATATAAAAAGTACATATTTACTTAAATATTATAAAGTACATTTTATTAATTTTTCTTATTTTTTTTTTCAGCATGGCTTTACTTTGTAATAGTTATTAATGCGTACGCTAGCGAGATGAGTACTATAAACCAAAATTAATTCAGTACTTAATAATAACAAAATTATCAATAGATAGGTAACTGAATTGTCAGATTTTTCACCAATTTGTATTATATTCTGAAAAAACTCTAACCCCTATGTATAATAAATAAATAAATAATATCTATTGAACAACAGATTTTGTTAATTATAGAAATCAAACTGATTCCACTTCCAGATAAACAAGAAACAATGTACCGTCAAACCTGGCAATTTTACTAAACCCTTGGCAAGATTACCAGACTATAGTTATTTTACACACATCCAAATAACTATAAAACGGCCGAGATTTGACTCTTAGTAATAGCGGCAGTAGTTTTATGGATATTTACGGCAGGATTTGTGTTATTTATTGAATGGAGTGTGAGAAATTGTTTCCTTTACTGTTTTAATGTCAGTCATTTTATAGAAAAGGTAAAGTTGCTTTTGCTTGTTTCATGGCAATTTTACAGTTTGGTATAAAGTCAAGCTTGGCTGATTATTTAATGAAGCTATATTAATAAATTCAATATATGCCGGAGTAGTTCGAAAATTTCGATAAAGGCTTCAATTTGTTTAAGTTATGATACGCTATCACTATTCTTAGATTTAGGTACCTACTTATTTTTTCAGTTTGCTTCAACTCTCAGTTCAAGATTGAATAACTTCATATTATTTTTTTAATATTTAAAGAACCTTTTCAAATTTTAACCATAAGTTCCCAATCTTATGTGATGGGTTAAAAGAAACAACATGAGTAGAAATTAAAAATTTATTAGTATTGAAAGCTTCAAGCACTGCGTTTTTTGTTTTATGTTAAAATTTCCTTTTGACAACCCTATCCAACCAAAGTGATTTTTATACTTAGTGATTATATTAACTTTTTGATTTTTATGTATACTGCTATAAGCCTTATTGCAACTTTACCTATTTCCATTATAACCTTTTTATATAGAATAAGGGTGACAAACGAGCACACAGTCAACCTGATGGTAAGAGGATGCTGTGGCCCATAGACATCTACATTTATCCTCGATTAAGAATCAAAACGCCGATGCGTTGTCATCCTTGAAGGCATAGATGGAATGCCTCGTTTCCATTAAAAAGGTTCTCAAGTTATCTACATTCACCATTCGAAAGAGCAGCATTAAGCTATTATTTAACGCTAGTGGTCCGTAATGCTTATTTAGTACTTATAATTCGACTTATATCCTTGTCTTCTCAATTTTATAAGACAGTCTTCTAAATCGCAATATTACTTAGTTATATTATTATATATTATATACTTATAATATTACGACTTAATAAATATAAAAAACATAAGTATAGTTGCCATAAACGTGTCAAACTTACGCGTGTTATTTAATTACTACTACATCTAAATGTTTAATGATAAGGTTGTAGACAACAACGTTCATAAAAATTAAAATTCAGTTGTATAATACAACATAAAGACGTTTTTGAGTATTCATTCACGCATCGTCTGGTAAAAAAATATTTTTTGAATAATATAATATAGTAAAGTTGCCAGTATTGACTACAGCTATATTGGACACAGCTTATGCATTAAATGTTCAGTATTTAAGTAGTTTTTATTTTATTCTTATGTGATTAACAGGTGATTAAATGTCTTCTTTTTCTTTGACATTGTAGGTACTGTCAGTGTGCAAACGATTTCAATTATTCATATTGTAATATTGGCAAAATATGCCTTATTTTTCTCGTATAACATCTGTGAAACAATGTTGCTTATGTGTCGATTTAAAAATAGGATGCTTTATTATAGCTATTATTGGAATCGTAAGTTGTAATTTTGGTTGTACTATTATAAATATCAATACTGCTTCGTTATGTTCATTAAATTCAATAATGTTTTATAAGTTTTATTTAATACGTAATTTATATTGTTTTGAAACACGACTTCGAAATTCAGTAAGTACCAAATTACGTAACTTCAGAGGTCAATTAAGTAATAACTATAATTTCATATATTAAAGTTAACAGGCCATGTAGTGCACAGACCAGTCTTGTTCTGATGACACATTTTCGATGAAGGAAGAGTACTTTACGTCTTAATACTACGTCCTACACTAAGAGGGGCTAAACGGAAAAAGAGCATCCGACGCCTTATATGACGCCGTCTAATGCGTATTGGTAGACTTCACATGTCTCTCAAATATTTGTTTTGAAATTTCTCATACGTGCTGATTTCCTCATCACATCTTTCAAAATTGCAGCTAACGATTTCATGGGTAACGCCAAACAACGATACAATTCTGTTCAATTTGTAAATTTTAAGAGCGCTCATCTCTAAATTTAAATTGTCTTGGTATCATTTTATATTTTCTATATTTTATTTTATGGTGTATAATTTTAGCTCGACTTCACGGATATCGGCCTGGTCTCGCTCTACCCGATCTGCAGACATAGTTCTAAGCAAATCCAAAGTCTCATAAGGGGAATTGTCGCCTTGCTTGCAATCGTTGCCAATATTACTGTGGTGTTAACAAGCATTATCTTTATTTATGGTTTAATAAAGGTAAGATTTCAATAATAATATGAAAAACTGTTTTAAAAATTAAATATTTTTCAGGTAGCAGGAGAATTATCTTTCAATCTTATGTTGCTCTTAAACGTTCATAAAATTTTCCCGATTTTTCACACTATTTCCTCTATTAATACTTCATGTAACCTCAACGGCAGCACGAATTTAGCAGCACCAAGTACTGTGTAACAATACAGATAAAATTCCAATAATATTTAAGTGATAAGTACTCAACATCATGTTAGTTTACATTACCTAATTTAATCATTAGGTTTGTTTCTATGTATGCTGTTTTTTTTTATTTATTGCTGCATACATTCATGTAGAACATACATGCAGAACAATATGTTACTTTTAATTTAATTTTCTTAGTAATAGGATAAAACTGTATGGTCAGTATTGTGTTCGTCAGTAACTGGTACAATGTGAGCACTGATGATGCACCTACCTAAATAAATCTGTACATGCAAATCAAAGTGTATGTCTGCAATATCAAAATAAATGCTTTATATTGAGCTGAGGGAGTTGATTGCATGCCATCAAAACATTGGTAATTATTTTTAAAAATTTTGTCTATATGTTTGCTTATCTGTCTGTCTGTCCAGGCTAATCTTCGAAATAGCTGAACCGATTGTAATAAAACTTCACAAACCGATAGAGAGCAATGCCAGAAGTAATCTAGCCGATATTTGATCTCAAAATTTTGGGTGATTTAAAAAAAAAGAAAAATTTATTGAATATGACTATCTTAAATAATAATAACGCCACTTTAATAGATTCTGTCCAGGCATACTCGGAACGAATCGCTAGTAAATTAATATAAATAATAAGGATGTTGCTTGAAGTGCCTCCTGACGAACACGTAATTTTTAAATTTCAAATGACAGCAATGCAGTCGATTCCTTTTGAATTAAAAACAAATTATTATAAATGATTTGTTTTTTTATCGTTTTAGAACATAGCAAAAACAGCCGTGTGGTTCATGTACGCGATATTCTTCTCGATGGTCGTACGAATTTTGTATGTTATTTTAACAATCATCTCCGGTCTCTTCTTCGAAGGGTGTTATCTCTTCGATTGGCATATTCTACATCAAGTCATTATGTTTTTCGGTAAGTCTTATATCACTAAACTTTATTGTACCAGTTACAATTTAATACAGCTACATAATTGTTCTTTTTGCTAATTATAAAATACTACGAGTACTAGTGGTCGTACAATGGTCGAAATTAGACCGTAGGTAAGTTAATAATTTTTTAAGTTTGTATATTAAACATGCTGAATTTCACTTTCAACTCTCGATATATATACCTATGTATTATCTATGTATTTAACTGCACAATTATAATTAATTATATTTAAAAATACAGATATCTAATATACAAGATATAAAAATGCTTTCTTACAAACATATACTCCACAGACATTTAAAAAAGAAACATTTGAATCACACAAAATTAAGTAGTAATTATTTGTTGACAATATTTCAATACTGTTCGACCACAGACTATTATATGTTTGACACAGGGAAAACGGCAAAAGCCTACCTTCAATTGAATAGTGCAAAAAATAGCCATTTGTTAAAAAAAAACAATCTATCAACAATTTCGCCCCGGACTCTCGAAAGCCGCTTAAAAGATAGGAACGGCCAAAGAGTATGTCAGTAGTTCGAAGGCGATTTAATATTATCTCTTATACACCAGAAGTTAAATACCCAGACCACAGACCACATATTACATTATGTTACTATATAACGCACACCGGCTATAGGCAGCAGCATCTAAGGTTCGTGATGTATGGCATTGAGATTACCAATCGGCCTGCCAAATGAGATGGAAAGGAAAAAGAAAAATATTTTGTAGTATGTAAAGTTAAGATGCATTATTATGTTTATTTTTAATATTATTTATATGTATATTCGATGAATGCAGGTTTATTATATATACCTAGATAATAATTATAATGGAAAGATGGTCTAGAATTTAAAAATACTAGACCATCGGAACACTTGTGTGGAATTTTTTTTATTTCTTCGTACAAGGTGTTGCTAAGATTTACAATTTTTATTTATAGAAATATTTTGATTAGCCATTGAAAACTTTTTCTGAAAACTATTGTGACATCTAATTCAACATTATCAATTTGTTTTAATAGTAAGCTTTTAGTTTTATCTTTCTTTTTCCACCTAACACTGCCTATAAGATCTTTTAGCTAGAAAAAAAAAAATTAATAAAAACACATCGAGATAAAATACTTGTAAATATTCTTTTTTTCAGTTTGGTTCCACTTTCTGTCAGTAGTGAAGAGCTACCATGAAACTATGTGATTCTGATAATTACACACAAGTCTTAACGTTATTAATATGAATTAAAAATTATATTCTCATAGGCATCAGTGTATTTCTATGTTTTTTGGTTTACCAAAATACGTTACAAAACATAGAAAAATTTATATGCTCAATTGCATTTATCAATTTAGTTCTCATAATCTATAGTAATTTAGTACTTTGATAATAAAGTAGTCCTTATGTATCGCGTGTTTTTTATTTAATTTAATGCAGATCATGTGACGTAACCCACACTACTACATATGGCAAGTTAATTGCTGACTGTAGTATAATGTTATAAAATAATGATGCTTATCTATCCAATGAAAAAGGTAAAAATCTATACTACTTAGGTATATTTGTCCCACCGCCGGGTAATGTACTTCTCTTATTTCTGTGAGACTGGGCTCCCAATGCGTATTTGCGCTGTCACAACAGTTCTCGAAGTTTTTGATCTCAGATATGCCGGTTTCGTCCCGATATTTTTCTTTAAGCTGAGAACGCAATATGCAATACGAAATATAAAACAATGCTCGCCGGTGAAAGAAAACATCATGAGGAAATCTGCATATCGCAGAAATAAGAAAAGAAAAGTATTTGCAAGACATTTAAAGTTTACCAACACGCATTATGGCAACGCGGCGGATATTTCCTTGCCCTAAAACCCTCTCAGAAATGAGAGGAGGCCTGTGGCAAGCAGTGGGACGCATATAGGCTGTAGGTATATAACTTTAATATAATACGAATCAGCTCTTGAATCTGCGATTATAATTTCATTGGTACCGGCTAGAATTGAACTTCTCGAAGTTTCTTAAAGTAATATAAAATGTCTAATGTAGCAAAATAAATACGTAGCTTACAGTATTACAATTAAAACATAAATTAGCTACGCAATTGCCGGACAGTTACAAAACAGATGATAAACCCAAATTAACTTTAATAACATAGAATGTAGTGAAGCCATGCTACAGTTTTAATATGGCAGCACGAATAGGGTATTTTACACCAAGTAAAAAAAAATCAAAGAATATATATTTATGATAGATTTTGTAAAAAGTAAACGAGAAATATTGATTTCTATTTATAAAAATGCATTATAAATTTTATATTTCAATTTAAAGAATTTTTTTTTACCTATGCCTCAAATCTGCAAAACGATGTCCGCCATATTAGATAGCGTTGTGACGTCACTAGGTCAAAGAACAAGGTTATGTGCTATGTACTAACTAGCTAATTTCGAAATTTTTCAAGTTATTACGATTGTTGACTTTTATTCCGAATTTTATTGAAAAGGTATCATGGAAGACGGATTCGTAAAAGCGAGTTTATTACTTCGCTTTTAGCACTAATGTTATAGATATTATACTATAAGCTTAGGTGAAAAAAACTTTTTGTTATATTTTTTTGTACAAACCCCCAGACGAAATAAAAAGTCACTTTTTTATTTGGTCTGAGTACAAACCATGTCTTTATTCCCATATAATAGAAGAAAACAGGAATTAAGTAAAACACTGCACTGCACTTGCAAGGGCTATCAAATTGGCCCACAAAGGGCGGGACAGACGAGCGATTAGCCTAATCTATTACAAAATTTGACTTGCAATATGTACCTAATCATGTCATGATGTTTTGTTTTGTTTCATCGATAGTTAAATATAAGTCATACTTACATCAAAGTGATTTTTACAGAAGTATAGTTTAGATTTTGTAGACAATGCCTTCGGGTCTCTTCTTGCTAGTTTTAACCAAGTATTTCTCATATTTAAATCAGTTGGCACTTTAATCCATAACTTCCCCGGCGTACTCGTATTTTTGCAATCAGGCACAGCACAACAATGATATAAATGATAACTCATTGTTAAATATTCAAAAGTATCTTAGTCCTTTGCAAAATTGTCAAAATTCTACGACAGTGACGTCATGAGTTGAATGGCGGCTAGCTTTTTCACGTGAAAATTTAAAACGATAAATTAAAAGTAATTTTTATGTCCCTATTCGGTTTAAAAAAAATTATATAAAAATTATAGTGGTTCATTATCACTTTAGGATTCATTTATAACACTTTTTGAAAATGGGTGTTTTATTTAGCCTATTGCTTAGACGAGTGAAAGGCGCACATCCTTACGGAGCACCAGTGTACAATAGCAGGTTATAATTTTGTTTTGTTATGTATAGTGATTGGCGAGGAGTGAAGAAATTCAAAAAATAAGTAGGTATAGAAAATCGGAAAAACATTTTACGGACAGCGTATCAATCCATTTTAGGAGATACTAAAAGGTGACAACATTTTTGCATTTTACCTCTTAGCCGAAGATATATTATAGTTTTCTATGGGCCACTGCATCTACCCATTACATACTGTACCATCTATCAAATACATAAGGAAGAAATTCCCCACATTTCTGTAAATCCTACTTAAAATGTTGATTCAACGTTTTGCAGAATTTCGCACAATCGTATAAAACAAGACAGCTCAAATTTTACTGCATTTTGATTTACTTAAAGCTAAGCAACTTCATTATCCTTCAAACTAAATGAGTGCTGCTTTAAATGCTCTTATATTTCTTATGTTATATAGAAAATGTTAATTAAGGGGTACAGGAGATTCGGTCAAAGCGCCCGCCCTCGCTCATTAAGCCCGAATCCACGCATCAGCATAAATGTCACTCTGGGAAGGTTTTAATTACCGTCGCATGGCCGACCCACCGCCGCGTCGATCTGCCCATAAAACAGTAACATCATTTGAATAAAACGAAGATAGAGCCCCCTGATCTCGTTTTCCCCTGTAAATAGGTTACACAGTCGGAACTCTGCGACGGTGTTATTAAGGTGACTTTTCACTAAGCCCATTTTCATTAAGGTACAATAACACGTCTGCTATGTGACCATTACGAATTCCTCTACGAATATTTCGTGGCACGGTTTAATATAATATATGTAAATTGGTTAGTAAAAAATTTCACTTATTAATTTTTAAATGCCAAATAAGTGCTTTTAACAAAAACATTTTAAATGCTAATACTGAAGAATGTGTTTATATTTGTTCATGTTCTATAAATAATGCTCCATTACGGGCCATTAAAGTCCACTACTGAACATAAGCATTACGCCACCTACGGGCCGATATTATGGGGCATTAAATATTTTTGCACCGCCACTACATGGTGAGACATCTCATTGTTTCTTAATATAGGTATTCATGAATAAAAACCTATTCATTTAGTGTCCAGTACTTCGTTTATAACGCTATGTTGTAACGGCTTAAAGAGAATCTATCAAACTATTTCGTCCTGTGGGTGTCAGAAGAGGCGAGTATCGGAAATGTCTCAATGATGTCATGGCTTGTGATTAATTAAGGTGTGAGTGAATACCTCGTTCATGCCAGGCATAAAATACCAACAGCAACAACGATGGGCTGTGTCAAAGGTGCAAGAGGAGGTCATATTGCGATCGCTAATTGTCTACCAAGCGTGATGGTTACCGTAAATCCTCGCTTCAAAGTGAGAGGGCCGACTTCAGTAAAGATCTTCTTTTATATCCTGATGAAAAAAATTTGTAAAGATAATATTTATTTACAAAAATTATACTTATCTTTTCAAGAAATATGTAATTATTTCTTTAAAAACGTTAACCTTTTCTTCTCAGTATTTAAAATTGAATACTAGATAATAAGTAAATAAAATATTTTTGCGTGAACTTGGTACAATAGTACGTACTCAAAGTTCACGTAAAATATCTTAAATTTCTCCCGAAATTTCTTCGTCACGTTAGCTTCCCGACGGAGGCATAAAAAAGGAAAACGAAAAAGAAAGATTAAAGAAAGTCACTTTCCTGGGATGGCACGTTGCTCCGGAGCAACGCCACCGGATTTTATTACAAAGAGCACGTGACATGAACAAAAATACGGCTTTGAGAATTCCCCGCGTTGCACGGACTTAAATTACCTTGAGACTGAAATTTTATTGTTATTTATTTATATATGATACGTTCAACTGGGAAATTTTTAATTTAAATTTATATTAATAAAAATTCTCAATATATTTAAGCTTCGTCTTTATTATTAAGCTGCAGTGTTTTTGGTTTTGAAAACGATGAATATTTATTTTTGCTACGTTAACAAGAACAAAGTATAGTAGCAATCTGCACATATACTATTGCCGCCACTCAAAGACGAAATGCAGTCAGCGTTCTTGGCACTATTAGTCCAAGAGCTGGCGACGAATTTGGCAAGATCCTTTTGGCAAATTGAAATTGTGAAAAAATATAATTTCGTCAATTGGCGAATCCAGTCCCGCGAGTCTGGCAGAGCGTTTGCGGTTATTTTGTTACTGCGCAGCATATAACATTTGCAAAAAAAATATCCAAAAAAATGTTTTTTTGGCAAATTTATTTCTTTTTTTACTTTTGTCTTTTAATTTAATTTTTATATAATTCACAAAAAAATAGTCCCAGTCGTTTATGTTGGTTATAATGTATTACCAGGCCTCTCCAAATATATTTTATTAAAATTCCCAAAAAATATACTACTTTTGGCAATCTCAAATTTTAATCATGTATTTATAGAGTAATTCTAATAATACTTGCAAATCGCCAGACAAATTTAGCGGTTTTGAGCAATTCTCAGACGTGAATAAAGTTTACAAATGACTACGACACAATAGCTTTTCGAGGCATGCCGGTAGCTGATGGGGGCGCTGAAGGTCTACGCGCTGTAATTGGTTATTGAGAAACCACATATTTCCAGTATAGTTCCGAGCAGAGTATTATACGTATATATATAGTATTTTGTTATAGAGTATTTTGTGTAAGAGTAATCATCGTATCGTGAAAAGTTATCTAGTGTTTTTATATATTTTTTAAAGATATCTGTGTATATAGTTTGAATTGTTTAGATCAGTGCTGTAATTACTTGTATAAGAGCTATTAATTTTAACCTTGTAAGGCTTGAGCTTGGCAAAAAATATGTTATAATAATTACCGCCCCATGTTCTTAGAAAAGA